CACTCTAGCACACTCCTGGAAATAAACACGCTCGGTTTTTTTTTTATCTTTTTTTTTTTTTTAAGGAAATTTTTAAGCAACCCCGGAAGGCCATGTATTTGAAATGGCACGTTTCAAAGTTAAAAATGTTAACACAACGACTTCGGCTTTTCCAGCCGGAGGAGCACAGTTTTCCCCTCAAGAGGAAACCACCGATGACCTCGTCTGGCCCGGTTTTCCGAGCACTCTCTGTCGTCGGAACCTGTCCCCCAGAGTGATTTTTCTAATTCGGCCGTGCCTGTGGAGGCTCTCGGTTCCGTTAGACGTTTGGGGCGTTCACAGAATTTAAGTTGCGCAGACTGACGTTGGGGCTCGGTTTTTAATTTACAGTCTTGTGCCGCATAGTGACGTTTGGGTCAACAGTGGACCAAATACACAGCAGTAGGCCTATGAGATGACACAGTAATGGAGCTGAAAAATCCCTGTCGCATAGCGATGTCGCGGCAATGTCACAGGCAAGGGTTACTCACGTGTTTGCGGCACTGCGGCCGTAAACACCACTGCCTGCCAGTCCTCTGCAAGTAGGGCACGTGCAGCCCCAGCCGCGGGCGGTACCGTCTGGGCTTGTGTACTCTGGCCTGTGATGGTCGCACTACCGCAAAGCGCCTAATGAGACCTTTCTCAGCAAAGTGTCTCGCCGTCACTAAGCAGCACGTGACTGTACATTGATATCTCAATGATTAAGAAAAAGGGAGAGCTATCCCTCACTGAAATGACTTGAATCCATTGTGTCTGATTCTTATGTAGAATACTTAAAAACCTGGAATCTGGCAATTACTCCTTCGGGAATGAAAGAAGTCAAAAGTGTACGTTGTGCCCTAGGTGGTGTACAGGTTGCGAAAGGCCTTCCTGTGGGGTGATGTGATCTGCTTTTGGGAGAGCATTCCAAACCCAGAAGCAAATCGAGGACATCACAGAAATTTGAAATATATAAATATCTGGCAACCTTGAAAAGGATAAAAATAGTCCAACTTTAAAAGTACATCGCCAGAAGGCAAATTAATTAAACTTGTAGTAGTTTTTAGAACGCAAAAAGAAAAAAACTTAAAAATTGAGTACATAGGCTTACACTTGAAACATTTTTCACAGTTTTTAAAAATATTATTAAAATGAGAAAATTCTTGGAATGGGTTAAATGATGAGAAGTTTCTCATTCTGAATCTCCATGGGCAAACCGATGATGGGGTTTTGCTAATGCAGCCTAAAGTTAATTCTTTTATATGGTAAAGGGAAATGTGTTCGCTTCACAGAGCACTTCAGTATGTGGATTATGTATTTTATGTAGGAAAGAAGCCATATTGCCAAATTCAGGTACTGAAATTATTTTGCTAGTAAGGAACTGTGATGCCAGACTTTAAAAAGAATTAGAAATTTTAAAATATAGAATTAGAAAAAGTTTTAAAGAAGTCTTTGGAAGATATATTAACAGCTTAGTAGGAACTAAAGATTAAGTAGTAGTGATATTTAGTCTTTTTATTAGGACTAAAAATATTTTCTAGTAATTTCTAAAACAAAAAGGTTAGCTCCAGCTTAACTTATTCAACTGTTAAGTGGCAGTATTATTCTGAGGCAAAAAGAGGCGGTTTATCTTTTTCACACCTTTTTTTGTCAACTAACATGAAACTACATCAAAAACAAAGTGAACTAGGAGTCAAGAGAAATAGCTCCAGCTTTGGTGCCACTTAGCTTTGCAAACTTGAGCAAGCTAGTTTCTTCATTGATTAGAGAGTTCTACAATAATTTTTCAAGTTCTATAAGATCAGTGGTTCTCTGTCTGGGGAGATTTTAAAAAGTGTTAATGTCATTTCCATGTCTAAGCCTCATCTTGGGTTTAAAAGATTTTTAAAGGCTCCTTGAGTAATTCTAATATGTGCCAATTTGAGAACCACTGTACTAGATCAATGTTTTCCAACCTTAGCCAATCATCAGAAACACTTTCAGGAATGAAGATTTTTGTCCTGCCCAGAGCAACTGAATCAGAATCTCTAGGGGAGAATTGTGGTAATCTGTATTTTTAATAGGCTCCCTGGGTGAATAAGAAGTTTTGGGGGAAAATGGACTAATCTTTGGAAATCTCACATACTCTGTGCTTCCGTGTTATAGTTATTTTATACTGTAATAAAACTTTCTGTGAATTAGGTGATGAACATGTATGAATTGTGTGTGGAGCTAGGCGTTGTCCCAAGGATTTTTTTTTTTTTCTGACATTCCTGAAAATTAAGGTATACTGTGAGTGCAGGAAGAAAGTTAAATCTGATTTTTATTTACAACTGCTTTGGTTATGCAAATTACAATGTTACTGTTATATTTTACATACGAATGAGATTCTAAATGTAAATGGAAAGTCACAGAATGCACATTTCTCCTTTTTAACAAATGTTTTCTTGCACATGTTTTATATGGTGAACATTTTGCACAAGATGTGTTTGCCAAATGACTTAGCTTTTTAAAAAAATACCCATTTGGTGTACTTTCCTCCAAATATATTCATGCCTAGAGTGAAAACAATGTGTTTTTGTAAAGTGTTATTAATATGAAAATACTTGTAAATAAATGTGTGCATATGCATAGTGTTAGCAGAGGCCTTTGCCTAGGACCTTAGAAATAAACAATAGAGATGGAGAAGGAGTTGGGAGACATGGAAGGGAGATAAAATTCTTGTCCTTTTCATTCATTCAGTTCTTCCCTCTAGTCCAGTTCTCTTAGGCACAGCTCCAGCCCCCTAGCTTTATATTGCAACTGGATGCTGACCCAGTTAAAACTCACAAAGACCTCTTAAAGGCTAAGTACTCTGAGTCCCTGCTTTGGGGTGGGATCTGTGGTAGAGTCGGAAAAATAATTATGCGTTCAAGTAACTATTGCATAATTTTCTGAAATATGCTGAAGGTGAAAAGCTTTACAAGGGCCCACACTGGGGAAAACAATAGTTTTAACAGGAACAACTTAAGAGCTTAGGATTCTTGGTCATTAATTGATAGGAGGTACGGATGTCCCTTTGGGGAGAGATTACTCACCCTGTGCCCCTTGCGAACAGCCTTCCTACCTCCTTCCCCTCCTCTCCCTGCTTTTCTTTCTCATGCAAAACAAGAACACCCCAGCTAGTCAGAACGGTGGGGGTTTGTATGTCCCAGTCCTCACAGAACGATGGAGAGACCTTGCTAAGACTACCTGGGAGAATCTGGAGGGTGAGGATGGAAGAGAGGCTCACACTCCTCATTTGTGGCAAGGCTCTCATTTGGTGCACACATGAAGCCCACAAGGTAGGGTAGCACCCCAGCACCCCATGTGCAAAACTTGTCTAAGAACCCCCACATAGAGCCGAGTCAGGACGCGGGTGTGCAGCCCCTGCCCGCTGCACCCTTGTCACTGCATGGGGTCCA